CTTTATTTTAATATAAAAATAAAAATTATTTCTTAATAAAATTATAAATTTTAATATAAAGAAAAAATTTTAATTTTCACTATATCTTATTAATAAATTTAGTTTCTAAGTCATTACTTTTAATTATTACTGCATATATTTATTAAATCTAAGATAAATTAAAGTTTTAATATTATAAATTAATAATAATATTATTTAAAATATCTTTTTTTTTAAAAAATAATTTTATTTTAATTTTTTTAAGAAAAAAATATTATTTATTTATTATTAAATTAAAATATAAAAGAATAATTAAAATAATATAAAAAATTAATTTAGATTATTTTTTATTTAATTTAAAAAATTATAAAAATTAATTAAAATTTAAATAAATTTTATTAAAAATAATTATTAATATTTATATTAAGATATAAATCTTTTTATACTAGATTATAATAATAAATATTAATTTATATAATAAAATTTTAAACTATTATAATTTAAAAAATTTTTTATAAATTAATAATATAAAATACAAAACTTAAATACAGTTATATCTTTTAAGTGTATCTTTTTTGAAAATATAGTAAAAAAAATAAAAAAATATATTTAGAAAAAATATATATTTATAGAAATCAAAATATATAGAATTTTTATAAGCTAAAATTAAAATATACTATATATTTAGAAAGAAATTATATAATATATAATTAGAAAGATGTGATTGTATTAATTTTATAAAATCAAGATTTTATTAATTTACTTGATTTTATTAATTGTCTTTTATATATATTATATTCAAAAAATATTTAAATATATATAATAAATTCTAAAAGTATTTCCATTAAAATCTTGTTAAAATTCATGAATTTTAATAAACAATAAAATTTAAAGTCTTTAATTATAATAAAATATTAAATATATAATTCATCTTAATTATTATAAATCTTTTTGAATTTTAATAATATCATAGATTTATCAAAATTCAAACCAAAAAAAAGTTCGGGCCATGTGATGTTTAAGAAGTAAACCAATCAAATCGCAAGATACACAGAAATTTCGAGATCTTGCCCTTAATAAATCACATGACCTGAACATTTTTTTCGCTATACCATTACCTGATCTGTAGAAATCCTACTTGTTTGTTTAACAAAAAAAAAAGAAAATGATAATTACCCTAGTGTGTAATCATGATTGAAAACACGAAATTTCCATAAACGAAAAGATCTCGTCATACATAGAAATTTTCCATTTTCTTTTTTATCACATATCGATACATGCAGAATGAAAAATTACTTTTTTAAGTATATCGATACAGTCAACTCCCGCAATAGTCACATGCTCCCCCAGTCAGGATAATGAAACTTAACTTTTTAAACTTGAATTTATCTACAATCAAAATTGGGAATTTTCATAGAGATGGTGCCAAATATGTTGTAACTATTTCGGCTTAGTCTTAATTAATTCAAAACGAAGCAGTACAATGATAGATGAAACTTTCTTCATTCCCGAAATATGAAATTTTTCTCTATAAAAAGATCAAGTAAAGACTATAATTCAACACACAATTTGATAAAACGAAAATGAACAAGCAAATATTTTTCCTGGTTGTCCTGACCATTCTCGTCCTAGTTATCTCCCCGATTAATGCTACGGCTGGTAGGAGAGAAAAGAGAGCAACATGTCCTCAGATAGTCGACTATTGCACATTTGAACCTCAAGCCGGAAATCCAAACCAAATTGTTCTCGGCCAAGTTACTTTCACGCAATTCACCGATTGCACTCTGAGAATTACCGGTCAGTTCAATACAATTCATGGAAGTTCAAATGGCTATCATCTCCATATAGTTACAAGCCCCACTGCCCCTCCTACCGCCGATCTGGACTCGATTTTTGGGCCTCAAATTGATCAACCTTTTGAAAAAACTTTACCCGTTTCACCCATCATCCCTTTTACAAACTTTAAAAACTATTTATGTGTAGTGAAACTCCTTCCCGGCGGGCTTCTTGGATCTACTCAGGTCAAGCAGGTCTAACCATTTTCTATAATAGATCTTACGAACTTTGATTCACATACAAAGCATGTACTATAAGCGATTTATTTGGTCGCCTTTCGAACTTGAAATTTACTCTTTTAGCAAGCGCAAATTTGTTTTAGCACGTTTGTGCTCATCTCAGAATTAAATAAATCTCTTGAATTGCAACCGGAACATGTGTTTAGATATTAATTGTTTGAAAATGTATCATATAACTTATTCAGCCTATGTCGTATCAAGGAAGAAAAAGCCTTAAGAATATTTGTTCAACATATGAAATTGTTGCTTGACAACCTGTTAATGTTAAAGGTAACATTTGGGGTTTTGCTTGTTTGTGTTATGTGGCATTTCTAAAATGTATGTCAGGTTAAACCACAGCTACGCCGATTTCAGCGAAATTCGAAATCAACAATAAAAATCGATTTTGAGATTAAGATTAGTTGTCAGGGTTAAGGGTTGGATAGGGTATTATGGCGGCTTAATATAAAACTTGAAATGCAACCATTGATCGAATTCTGTAAGCCACGTGAGCTGAATGCAAGTTGACTTCCTTTATGATGGCGTGTTTCAGGGACCCAGAAAAATTCCGTTGTGATTTTGAAAAAATTCCGTTTTGACTTTGAAAAAATTCTGAATTTTATTAATTATATAATATTTAATTCTTATTATAATACATAATTGTAAGTGCACGAAGAGATTCTTGACTAAGATTTTGTCAAACAAGCAAAAATTTTGTTATCGCACTAAATTGCCCATTCTTGTAAAATTCCGTAGATGGATTAAAATATATAGACAAGAAGTAATACATGATTATAATTTTCTTTTAGTTTTTTATGACTTGTTGTATTAACATGCGAAAGAATAGTTGTTTTATGTTCCTATTTAACTGAATGACTACAGTTATTCGTTTTTGCTTAGGCGGCATTAAAAAAGATCATAATTTTTTGTTAAAACTGATTTTTTATAATACATTTATATAGCTTTCTATAAAAATTCCCTTTTATACCGCTTTGTCTCAAAATATCGATATCATGATATATGAATTTCTGGCGTGTTTTTAGAGTCACATGACTTAAGCCTGAATTATGGTTTAATGCTGGCTAATTTTAAAGTCGAATGATAAATTTTAATGTTGGCTAAAAATTGACAGGCTTCGGGTAATGTTGGCTTTTTTCTTAATGCTAGCCAAAAATTATGCATAATTTTTATCGAGGTATATATAGATATCGGAATTTTGAAACAAAAACGGAAGAAAAGGACATTTTTATAAATATATATAATTATTGAATGATATCCCTATTTCATTTGAACAAAAATTATCGTTATGTTTATTTATGAAAAATGCCTCTATATGAATGTCGGTTTGTAGCCATTCACATATTAATACAGCAAGTCATAAAAAATTAAAAGAGAATCATAATACTGTACAAAATAACATAAATTCGACACTTAATAATAAATGTATCTGTCTATACAAGAATGGTCAATTTTAAATGATTATATATCCAAAATCACACCGGATTTTTCCGTGTGTGTACGTCACAACATTAATCCCGTGATTTAAACGGAATTATGGCTTAATTTTTTTAATGCTGGCTAAAATGTAAATCGTCATTGGATGGGATTTCCATACAAAAATGGTGAAGTAATTCACATTAGAAAATCACTGAAGATAATAGATGGCCAGAGCATATAAAAAAGGATCCATTTTCCAGATCATCTTTTTGAACTATGCAAAAAAATTCTCTACACGTTTAATGCTTTTATTATTGCTATTTGTTTTGTGTCTCATATTTTTGTATCAGTTATATTTTATATAATTATTATATATACTACAAAAATAAAAATATTATAATTGGATGCATCAACCAACCGAACAAGTCAACTGTCTCTTTGAAAGAAGAATCAAACCCTCTAAGCCAGAAAAAAGAAAAGTGATATAATGATGATGATGGTGATGATGATGATGATGTATTCATATCAATTATTATTGTTGGAAGAAATATGTAAAAGAAAAGGAAGAGATGACTAATAATATTAAAGAGGAATGATGAGGATTTTTAGGAAAAGTAAGAAATGGATGCTGGTTATCTTCTATCATCATCATCATCATTATTATTTTTGTGGTTGTCCAAATTGGTTGGCAAAGAAGGAGAAAAAGATTTAAATAAAGATATAATAATAGTAGAAGGTTCGTACCATTTTATGTAAAAATCAGTTTAACAAATTAAAAAAGAAGAGCAAATAATATATAAACAAGACTTGATTGATACAAACATCTTAATATTTCTCTATTTGATTATTACTTTATTGGTTTATGAATTTTGGTTTGACTAATCAAATATAAAATAATTAAATTAACTAAACACAACTTTATAAAATTGTATATCGCCGATAAACAAACAAATAAATAATTAAATAAATACCCGATAATTGTTTCCACGAAAGCTGCTGGAATATCCTGCCCGATATCCGCCATTGCTACCGCCACCACCGCTACTGCTTCCACCACCTCGGTTTCCACGGTATCCGCCTCTCCCACCTCGATAACCACGACTACGATAGCCACCGCGGTATCTTCCGCCGTCGATGGAAACTTGACCAAAAGTTTCGAGATTCAATCGCCTTTCTTCTGATTGCTTTTGTCTTCGTTCGGACACGGATAGACTACGACTAACAATTATGAAAATATTATTAAGCTTGAAAATAGTTCTATCATTAGACTACAAAGCTATACTTACCGTCCATCAGGTCCTTGCTGTTCCAAGCGCTCTTTTGTCTCGCAAGAAATATTGTCAAAGAATGATTTGTTTTTATCATAGAATAGTTCAGATGGCGGTATCAAAATTTCTTCCTCATCTTCATCTTCAGTGGTTGGATGGGTGTCAATAGCTTCCTCCTCTTTAGCAATACCATCGTGATTTGGAACGGTCTTTCGGACTTCCTTGACAATTTCATCTTTATTAAATTTCGCATTTGAGGATTCGAAATCAAAGTCTGAGGCTGGAACTGGAATTCGGTTGCGATCGTAACTTTGACTATAGTTTCTTCGATTACCGCGAACTCGACGGTTTGGTTGAACAAGATGTCCACCCATACCTGGCAGCCTATTATTAATGCTATTATTGTTACTATTGCTACTGTTGTTATGCGTCGATGCAGATGAACGATTATTATTGTTATTGCTAGTGCCACTGCTTGTAGTAGTAACACTATTAATAGCTCCTATAGAAACGAAAAGAAAATTTGAGGAAAAACGAATCATTACTGTTTTAACGTTATAATATCAAAAGCAAATATTTACGTTCGTAAGACTGTGTAGGCTGCCTGTCACCGTTTGTCTCCTTTGCTACAGTTGTTGTAGTAGCAGCAGCAGTCACGCTCAATTCGCTAACCTTTTTGGTCAATTTCTCCACTACCACGTTTGACGACGTATCCTTGATCACGTCATTACGAGAGTTTACAGAATGCCCAACGGCTGGCCGTGTACTTGGGCCCGGTTTACTAGCAAGATTTTTATTCAATGCAGCCTGATTATTGTCTGATTTATGATCCTCTGGCTTATCAGGTCCCGAATGCTCTTTCTATTGTAGTATATTGCATATAATATATAGGTAAACATACGAAGTTTACCAACACCAAAATGTGTCAAAACCCATTAACATTAAATTGCGGACCTGTTGTTGCGACTTTGGTTGTTCAGCTTCTTTTGTTGTAGTTTCCGGGAGATTCAACTTTTGATGAGAATAATTATGCGTCGAAAAATAATGCAACGTGAAAAAATATTACACAAAAAATATTAAACAAAAAAAAAATAAAGGTTTGCATGGTATGGCTACCTGAGGTTGTTGTGGAACTTGAGGTTGCTGCCAAAAATGCTGTTGATGTTGTTGCTGGAAAGCCGCTGCAGCTGCGACATGATTTAAATAATATTGATTCAATTGAGCGGTAGGGAAGTTTGGTGGTTGAACACCGAGTGGTGGTGGAGGACCAAAACCTTGGAAATTTGGAGGCCGTGGTGCAGTAGTCTATATGCAGCATATATCGTTAATTAGCAAAAAAAATATACATATCTTGGAAAAATCAAAGAGAGTATCGTGTATTTTGCTTGTTTCGAATTGTTTCAGTAGGAAGGCAACATGATTGCTTCAACATGATAAATTTTGCGCTTTTTCAGTTTATGTAAAACATCTCATGATTTCATCAGTGAATCGAATTAAAGCAAGCATCAAGGGAAAATCCATATTCCTTCTAAAGGTAAAAAGAATGCTCACCCCCAGGATAGCAGGATCATTAGGAACTTGCGGAGGCAAAGATGCCTGTGGCGCTGGCGCTTCACAAACATGCAAGTCCTTAACATCTGAGCCTCGAAACACTATGTATTCAAAAATATTATCTGATGGCGGTATTTCTTCAGAAGGATTGCCTCGACGACCTTCGGTACCAAAAGAACGCACTATTGTTTGTAATATTAACAAAGAATGATATTTATTAGCATTACGGTAAGACCAGGGCAATTTAAATGCAAATCTATTATGATGAGAGTCGGTGACATTTATAGTTTCACTGTGCCAAATTCTTATAACCAAATAAATTATAATCAATCGTTCTGAATTTCAAAACACAACGTATATAGTATTCGACTCAGAAAATATTCTCAACAAACTCAAATTCCAATAACCCGAATTACTAGCCTTGTTCAAGAGCGACAGTCGAGTCTGCCTGATTGATGGTGTGCAAAATGCCAACATAACGAATATCAGACCGTGATATAAGACTGATCTTTGACCCAATGTAACCAATTGCGCCACTCATCTTGAGTGCTGCACCTTTGACAAAGTCTTTTTTATATCAGAGTGGATTGGTTTGTGCTAAAAGAGCGATGAGAACAAGCCTGTCTCTACTGTCTGACAAATGAACAAACAATAGATTAAAAAGGTCAAACGTAGTTCTAGGTTATTATATTTTCTTAATAATAAATATATATTATTCCTGTTCTTTTTTGATGCTAATAAGATAAATAGGTACTTTATTACACAAGCTTTGTTTAGAGTTAGATTTTCTTTTTGGATTAAATTCACATCAATAATCTGCTTCAAAAAAAGTTGATCGAATGCAAATCAATACTTTTTTATAGGGAACAATAGAAAAGATCATGATTCAAAATTCGCGCATTTATTTAACCCAAAACCCCTTCCCCCGGGGTGGATGCAACACGCGCTGAAATTTTCTGATGATCGGAGAATGTTGAGCTTAAGTTTTATTGCTTTCAAGTGAGCGAGTGTTTAACGAGTTAGTACGATTAAAGTGATGATCGTTGTTTGCTGTATTTATATTATTTATATCGATGGTTTTCTTTTTTTTGTTTTTCAATTTTATGTATCGATTTTCTGTTTTTTAATATGTCTAAAATCATATGATATAATAATCATCTTAACCGGGGATTGTGATCAATAAAGTTGTCATCATATAAAAGATCGTACAGATCATATCAAATAAAATAAAATAATATAATATAATATAATATAATATAATAAATAATGATCTAATAATACATTTTTATTTGAGCTTGAAAAATACAGAACAGGTAATATATAAATTAATTAGATAAAAAACCTGAGGACTAAAACAAAAATTCATACCGCCAAACCAAATACATTTACTACGACATCCATATTTTTCAAGTCGCGATGAAATTTTGCGCATCCTTTTGTATAAAGACATATATTAGATTTTAGATTAGTGTCAAATCGAAAAAGATAATTAATTGGGAATATTTTTTTTCCCTCACCATCGTGTCGTGCATCCCAATAACAAGAACTTGTAGAATGTAAGCCCGCATCGGTTTTTTGAACTATTGTACATGTAACTGTTGATTCGAAAAAAATATAAGATTAATGTTCGCTTCATGTTTGTATAAATGCTAATGCTCATCATACTTTTCATGTATATGCTCGTACATACCAATATACTTGAAAGCTTTACCTAGCTCACATAGTTTCTTTACGCAATTATTAACAATTTGCGTGTTCCACATAGAAGCTCGAGTGTGCAAATAGCCAGAATCTTGTAGCACTGAATCGGTGACCTGTTAATCAGATACGAGAAAGATGAAGAGTTATCTTACTTTCTAATAAAGAGATAACTGTGTAATTCATCTCTTCAAACTAGATCACACCTCTTGCACAATGCTCAAAACTTCATCCACATTAAATGTTTTTTTCGGGTCTTTTGTCTCTTCGGGTAAGACTGACGTTGGATAAGCAGGATTTATGACTACTGGTGTAGGAAGTGGCGGTCTCTTATTATGTATCGGTTTTACATAACTATCATCAGGTAATGGTGGCCTTTGATGTATCAAATCGGGATCATTTTCATTATATGTGAATCGCCTGTCAGCGGTTGTGGAAATTTCAACGTTTCGAGTTGCTGACAGATTTTGAGTTGCTGGCTCTTCGCTATATGTGAATTGTCTTTCAACATGTTGGAGTTGTCTTACACCGCCGTGCGTCGCTGTCGTTTTGTTTGTAGACGTTAAGAAACTTTCTCCCGCCTCAACAGGTTCCTTATGAAAAAAATGTCAGAAAGTAAGATTAATAGGAAACCTGGAATAACCAGTACAAAGATAATGCATACCTCACTATAAGTTCTGGACATTATCAATTTTAAGTAAAATGCGAGCTTCCCCGATCGTTACGTATTTTTTTTAGCGTGAAAAGTTAAACCAATCAGCATTTTTTAAAAATAAAAAATTTATACATAAATCGATATATTTGACAGATCAACATTTATTTTTAGAGCATTTATCATTTTCTCGGGATTCTCCAAGTTCAACACTTTGATCTTACTCTCACTATTTGAATATGAATCCTCAGGTAAATTAAAAGTAATATATATTTTTTTTGACCGTAAAATGCTTGGTGTATGCAAAGTACAACGATTGACTTTACTCGTGTTTTCTAGATTGCAAATTTAGTCCTGGTGCTTTTTATCGTGCAAGTGGCACGAAAATTTGACATGGAAGATCCTAATGTATTGTTCTATGTTCGTGCATTTTATGCCTCTTCACAACTGCTCGTGATGACATTATGTTACATAACTAAATTCAAGATAAAAGCGAAGAATGGTATATATAATAATCATCATCATCATCATCATCACATCCTAATAATTTGTTTGTTTTATACTAAATTGTCTACGTTTCCATATATAGATACCACACCTTTGAAATATGTTGAGCCAGCAAAACCATTTCAACAAGAACCCAACGAAGTAGTGCAAACTACTTTTCGTGACTACGATCTAAAAAAGGTTGATGAGCTCATCAATCAAACCATAATAGGTGTTGTTATAATGAGTGCTTTACACTTTTACTGGAATTTTACGCAACCATTGTTTATTCAGACAATATTGCCGGTGAAGAATGCGTTGCAGAATAATGTTATCCGGATTCATTTGTTGGGTCATAAGGCGGAAGGGGAGCTAAAACGACCTTTCAAAATTGTTAGTCCATTTGGTGCCTTAGCGGACGCTCAGCAACCTGCGACGGATAAAGCTTCAATCAAGAAAGCGGAAAAGGCTGCAAAAAAGAATGAATAACGATTCTTTATTATTATAATAAATAGATGGTCAATAATAACTAGCATTGTTATTGTAATATTTGAAAGCTTCATATGCAAAAAAAGTATAATTTAATTTAAATTCTCATATTTGGATTGATAAAATATTTCAATTAATTAATCAGTAGGTAACTATTGTATGTTCTCGATATTCCCAATATTTTTTACGAATTCTGTCATGCTCACCAGCTAAAAGTTTACAAATCTGTAAATGATTTATATTTGAAATATTAGTAAAAAAAAATTCGCATTCAAAAAAAAATATCAACCAAAAAAATACCTTGATGGCTTCTTGCTTATCTTCATTTGATCCGGCACGTGCTCTATTCTCGTGAATATCTACGAGGCAACCCAATAAATGTGGTGAAATAATTCCTGCCTCTCGAAGTTCTTTACAGATATTTTCCAAGATTTCGATGCTTTTACCGGATTTTTCAATCACCCTAACGAATGTCATATATTGTACAAATTCGAAGTTTAGTAAAATACTAGAAATTCGGATTTCTCTAATTCACCCAATTCACCCTTTAATATAATTCCATGGACTTATATTGTTTGGAGTCAATCTGATCTTTTCTATTGCGTACCTATTAATAAATAAAATTTTAGAAAAATAAAAATAATAATACGCGCGTTACATCTACAAGAATTAAAATGACGTTTACTCAATTTCAGAATTTATAATTTCCTCGGTCACTTCCTCAGGATTACTAAATACATAGAAATATCTTTGATTCCAAGCTGAATTATTTCTCACATCCTTCTCTAAAAGTGAGTCCACGAAAACTAATTCTTGTTTCCATAAATTGAATCTTTTGATTACCCATTGTCTGTTGAATGATACATATATTTTTATATATATATAACACATACATGGGATATCAATATCATTAGCAATTTTAAATGACTCATACCTATATGACCATGCATGATAGTTCTTTGAATCATCGTCAAGTATACCAGTAATAAATGGTAATTCGCGTGAACTATCATTCAGTTTGTCAACAATAACTTGACGATGATGCCTTTACTTATAAAATGATGAATTAATTCAAATTCTCAAAAAAATCGCATGAAAAATAAAATGAAATCCCAACATACCACACTTGATAATTTTTTGGATGTTGTTCAACACACGAATCAACAAAGTTTAATTCTTCATTCAAATCGTAATTTATTGCATTCAATATTTGTTGTCGATAATTCCTTTAAATCAGATATTAAATATCAGCATCGTGCATACATGCGTTGAGATAGATGGATCATCTTTATCAATAAAGATACGAACCAAACAGTATAGTGAGCAGGATTTAACTCGATAATAGTTTCTGTCAGCTTTAAAGCCCTTTCACTTAGTTCTTTTTGACGCGTAATGGCGCGAAACAAATCCATGGCGCGTGAATCTACGTAAATATGAAATGAGTATTATTAAGAATATGCAAAAAGGTAAAGTCAAATTTAATAAGTACATTCACGAGAGTAAGCAATCGGGGCCAACGGGTCAGGACCGTCGTCCTGAGGAATGGGTTCAACATCGTCCCAAATCGGTTGATCGATAAAATTTTCCATTGAGGCCAATTCTTTTTCAGTTACTGCTATATAATATAATAGTTTTCAACAGGAGAAAAATCCTTAAAAATGAATCGCGGCTTGAGGTAATTTACAAATCATATTACTATGCAGGTAAAATAATTTTAGTAAATCTCCTTTGTATCCTTGTCAACATTTGTTGCAAATTAATAAAAACTTAACCAAAGATAACGCATTAGGAGTATTAGGAGTAAAGAAATTACAAACATTCCATATTGCTAAAGCAAATTAGTATGGTGCGAACAGTCTAAAAACATCCAATATTTTGAATTGTAAAGTTTTATTTTAAACATATAATCATTAAAGCAAATACCTTTGATATGAACCACGTCGATTTTTAATAGCGATAACCGGGATTTTCAACATATGAGGGCTTATATGTGATTGGCTGATTTGATTCTATTTTTTTGAAATTATATTTTTTATATTTCAGGAATATTAGATTAGCAAAATTGCACTTAATGTGTTTATTTATAATTTTATTTAAAAAAATATTTTCATTGTCATTATATATCAGAATCTGGCTCTTATCAATAATAATTATATATAGTCAAATCTTTTTATAGTTTTATCTTTATAATTTTATATAATTATTCAATTTAAATTTTTTCTAGTTATAATTAAAAAAAATCCAATTTTGCTTTCATTAAAGTAATAATTATAAAGAATATAAAGAGATTTGATTTTATATTATTTATATAGTAATATATAAAAATAATATATTATTTATATTATTAATTATTAATAAAGAAAGAAAAATAACTTAGTTTAAAAGTTTTAATTTTTATAATTTTAAGTATATCTAGAAGAAATAACTT